CTCCCCGACCCCACACAGACCCCTCCCTAACCCACAGACCTCCTCCCTGACCCACAGACCCCTCCCTGACCCACAGACCCCTCCTCCCTGACCCACAGACCCCTCCTCCCTGACCCACACAGACCCCTCCCTGACCCACAGACCCCTCCTCCCTGATCCACAGACCCCTCCCTGACCCCCAGACCCCTCCCCGATAAGAACAGCAGGACGGTAAAAGTCACACTTTGGATACACGCGCAGGGCGCATCCACCTCAGCAGTCTGGATGTTATAAAACTGTTATGAATCCACCTGGTCACAGTCCTGCTCCCCCTCCCTTCACAGATCCTCTGGTAATCATCTTCATGCAGCTCACCTGTAGTCCTCAGTATAAAGYYTTGTCATCAACTCTGTCTCTGCCAGATTTTCATGTGCTCTGCTATGATCTCCCCGCAGTCTTGTACCTTGTCCCTCGTTAGTCCTGGTTCCCTGATCCTGCTCATGCTCCTTGGTTTCATGATCTCTGCCTTTACCCTCGTCAGATTCCTCCTGTCTTCTGCTTGTCTGGTCACGACTCCTGCTTCACTTCCTGGTTTTTTGGCTCTTGGATTTTCCCTCATCGACACRACGCTTCATCWGATTACACGGCTCTCGACCCCTGCTCAGTTTACGGACCCACGACTCAAGCCTGCTCCACTAAGTCTGGTAATTCTTTTGATTCTGATCCTCGCTCATCCCTGGACCCAGTTCTTGTCTGTTGGACCCAAACCCCAAACAATTCTGAACGGTGACGACATCACACGGGCTCGGACCCTGTCAACTCAAATCAATGTTTGTGTATGGAACACCCACACGAACACCAGAAGTTCCAGTCCAACTTGATGTCCTGATCCAGAACCACACAAAGCCTTGCACATTTACAATAAAATCTGTAAAACTGTTTTTGAGATTGGCATTAATTCAGAGTTCAACGACCGGTTCATAATGAAAAACTTCACGTTTAAAGTCCGTGTTTGTCACGCGTGCGGTGTGTGTGTGTGTGTGTGTGTGTGTGTGTGTGTGT